ATCCCAGTCGGCGCCGCCGGAATGTTCTGAGGCATAACATCTCTGATCACGTAAGCAGTAAGTAAAGCCGTTGGTCCCCGGTTCATGAGTTGATGGGTCGATAGGTAGGGTCCAGGTGTGGGAGCTTGCCTCCCTGGCGTCGGTAGCATTGGTGCTCAGCACGGAAAACAAATCAAGGAAAAAAAGCTAAGAAGCTCAAACTTGTAACCTCTAATCAAAATTTCCCAGAGTTTGCAAAGTATCTAAAGCTTGAAAAAAGCTTTAAAATTTACTGAAAGCAAAGAAACGAAATTACTGGCTTACTTTTATCGAGAGGCTTTCCAGAGAAACCTCGATGACAACGCTATGAAAAAAGGTTCGCGAGACCGCTCATCCTCCAATGAGAGTGAAGAATACTCCTCTCAATGGATATTCGACTTGGCTTAAAAAGGTTTGTCCAGACTCTATTACAGCACAACCAACTTTACGGGATACAGCCCGAAGTAACGGTTCTCTGGATGTACCATTCACAATGCTGAAATTTTCAATGGCGCTTCTTTCATCCAATAACACTGCTCTGGGAAGCGATATGATCAAATTCGACCTTCTAAAAAACCTATAATTCGTTTATGGAACTCAATATAGTTCCACCAGCATGGATACAGGTTAAAGTAATAGCTATTCAAAAGCCTGGGAAACCCGCGTCTGATCACAATTCTTACCGTCCGATCGCTATGCTATCATGCCTGAGGAAGTAATTACAATTTAGCATTAGCCCTGACGGAATCCCTTCCGCGGTTATTACGAACTGTATTGGAGTCCTGGCCGCACCTTTAGCATCCATCTTCAACCTCTCTTTAGATTCTGGGATCTTTTCCGATGGCTGGAAGGATTCTTTTGTTTTCCCTGTCTTCCGACCGCTATGCTATCATGCCTGAGGAAGTAATTAGAAAAAATGATCCAATCAAGACTTGACCATTGGATTGAATCAAACAACCTGCTTTCAAATACGCAATTTGGTTTCATCTGATATTCAACTGGTATTTGCGCACAAGGAGCAATTGGCTTCAGTCTTTTTGGATATTAAGGGCGCATTTGATTCTGTTTCCATAGATATGCTATCGGACAGTCTGCACAGCAGTGGATTAGTGGACCTTCAATCTAGGTTCAACTGACAACTTCTAGAATTAGCTACATGGGCTTACCCCAAGGTTTATAATTAAGTCCTTTAATTTATAATCTCTATGTCAAACATATTGATAACTTCTTAGATAATCGATGCACGCTTAGACAGCTTGAAGAAGATGCCGTGGTTTCCCTGAGAGGTCCACGTACGAAAATCTTCCAAAGACCATTGCAAAATTCCCTAGATAATAGATAATCGATAATCGAGTTTTCACCGCAAAAAACTGAATTGGTAGTGTTTACAAGGAAGCAGTTTCCAGCCCAACTGCTTCTAAATCTTTTGACAGAGACATTGCCCAATCTTTGAGCTTCAAATTGCTTGGAGTCTGGTTTGATTGAACATGCACTTGGGGTACCCACATTACGTATTTAAAAAGTGTCAACAAAGGATCAACTTTCTACGATCAATTACCGGGACATGGTGGGGTGCTCACCCGGAAGACCTCATTAAACTATATAAAACGAATATTCTTTCAGTTCCTGAGTATGGCTCTTTTTGCTTCCTCTCGGCAATCAAATTGGAACGTATTCAATATCATTGTTTACGTATCACCCTTGGCTGTATGCATTCAACACACAAAATGAGCCTAGACGTTCCTGCAGAACCGTTTATGTGAGCTCTCATTAAGAGTATTGATCAAATGTAGTGTCAGTAACAGCCTTGTGATTGAAAGCTTCAAAGTAATGCTCAAATTGAGCACCCAGTCTAGATTCGTGCGAATCTACCTTAATTATATGTCAACGGATATTAGCCTTCCGTGCTATAACCCCCCTCGAGTACGCTATACTAACTACAGTTCCCCCATTGACTATGATCTCTCCATGAAACAGGCTATTCAAGGAGTTCCAGATCAACTTCGATGTATCTCAATTCCCCGTATTTTTGCCTTCTGAAAACTTCAGGAACCTTGTTCCGTTAATGTTGCTGAGCTGGCAGCAATCAACTTCGCATTGAGGATGATTCCCGACATGCCCACAGACCATTACTTCATCTTCTCGGATAGTCTCATTTCGATTGAGGCTATTCGGTCGATGAAACAAGTTAGGCACTCATCTTATTTCCTTTCAAAGGTAAGGGAGCAGATGAGTTTGCTGGTCAAAAGATCATATAGGATTACCTTTGTATGGGTCCACTCACATTGCTCAATCCCAGGCAATGAGAAGGCAAGACACTCTAGCAAAGGTGGGCGCACAACAAGGTGAGATTTATGATAGAAGAATTTCACAGAAAGTTGGTAAAACGATTGGACAAGTAATTCTCTTGGGCGGTGGTTACATTCCATTACTCCAAATGTTTCTTCAAGAGCGTGGTGCAAAGGTCTGGATGTAAGTCGAGGATTCACTCGCGTGATGTCAAAACTTATGTCCAAGCACTACTCGCTAGACGCACATCTCTACAGAATAAACCTCGTTGACTGCAATATAGGTAGGTGCAGAACCGGTTATGATGACTTCAATCACGCAGTTTGGCATTTCCGGGTAATGGCGTCTTCAGAGGACGACTATTGGATACCCTAGTGGCCCGAGTTAGACAACCCTTCCGTGAAGTAAGAGATGTATTGGGAGCCCGTGATCTTCCCTACATGCAGGCGATCTACGAATTCCTTTGTTTGTCTGATGTTAGAGATGGATTTGACCATCCCCTTCTTTCCACAAGTTTTCCAAACAATGGGTCCCAGTCTTATTATCCACTTGTTTCTGTGCTACTTGCCCCTGCCCAGTCAGTATTTGGTCAACATTGAAGGAGGCTTCAGTATTGATTTACCGCTGTTTAAAAAAATATTTAAAATATTACGGATTTTTGGCTCTGCAAAGTGTCACACACGACTGAGCCTAGTAAACAAACGAACTAGTTATAAAAATATAACATTTCCCAGAGTTGCGCCGTACAAATGTTTGTTTGTAACACCCGAAGCTATCATTTCGAGGGTAAGCCCGCAGGTTTCAGGACAAAATGTTATTTTGGAACACCCTAATGGCCTTGCTTCAGGGCCACACCTTAACTGGCTAGCATATCGAGAGGCTTCCGACCTGTGTACCAAATTTGCTTCCTTAATGGCTGTGTTGTTACAATACCACAGCTAAGCATAAATTTAAAACTTCCACTGGATCACGCACAATTCTACAAGTGGATATGTTGCTAAGGGTAACTTTAGTCATTGAATCCCCCCTTCAAAAGCTGCCTAGAGCAGTAGAATAAAGTAACATTCCAGCAATGAACATTTCGGACTGGCTCAAGCATATACTTCAATCGACGAGTGCCAATAATCAAACAGAAACAGATCTTCAAAGAACCATCTCAAATGGCGCTTCAATCATCCCAGGGAGCAGCTTGTCGGAATTTAATTCCCCAAGTGCAACAAGTCCAATCAAGAAATTTATCCTCCAGGCGGTGCGGGCCAACCTCTCTAGAGGTTCACTTTTTCCGACTGTGTTGGGAACTAAAGTCCCAGCACTTTTCTTTCCCGGAAACTGATCCAGTCACCGCCAGGAGCTTGAAGCAGTTTTTTTTTCTTCCTCCGAAAAATACAATTAATTTAACATCATTTCCAAAAATACCAACCTGCTCAGACAGAAAGAGATAAGAGCCTACAAACAAGACGTAAGCGGATGAAGACGAAGAGTTAATTTGCTTCTAGGCAAGGAGCATCCCAAACAGAACCGTAATCATCTCCTTCTTCGAGATGGGGCGGAAAGAAAAATTCGACAAGTTACTCAGAAAAAAGCAACATGTGCCGTGGTTGGGTTTTCCTCGAATTCTTAATTTCGTTCTCGTTGGAAGGATGGATGGGGTGGGGAAGTTTTTGCCTTTTCAATCTTACACCCATCCATCAGAGAAAATGGGAATTCTCCACACGTTCAAGTATTTATTTCATTCGACCTTTTTCTTTCGCCTTTCTTTCTTCGAAAACGCGATTGGAAAACGCCAACAGTCAAAAACGGAAACTTTGTGCCGTGGTGGGATGCCGAAACAGTTGCGTGCGTGCGAGAATTAACAATTCAAATTACTGCCACCCCCCTCCATATCCTGAAGTCGTTATTCGGTTGTTTCATTTTTTATGATAATGAGTTTCTTGAGCCTCGGTTGCTCGCTGTGCAAAAACCACATGCTCCAGCGAACATGTGGACTTTGTGGAACAGTAACTCATATTTACGCATCGGCGTCGTCGTCGTCGTCGTCTTCGTCGTTCGCCTGCCGGTATGATGTCGAATTTTAACAGTCGACGGGTGACGACACGTGCGAATTAAATGGGAAATGTTTTATAGGGCAATATAGGGGTAGGAATGTATGAAACGCCCCACCGGGGGAAAACGGCCCCCTTTGAGTTTCTACGAATCCAAGATTAATTTAAATGCAAAATTGAAGGGCAATCCAAGTGTTTGGTTGGACCTCTCTTCTATGCCAGTTTGAGAGCTATGAAGCTAAACTTACTCCATCTTTGTACACGGTGAGACAGCTAATATCTGCGGGGCATGTGACCTCTTTTTTTGTGGGCCATACTGTCATATTAGTATACAGAATACTGTCCGTTTGTTGTGTGGCATATTATACCCATATTAAATCCCATTTTGCCCCGCGTATTTTAAGAACCTAGGATTTAAGCGTTTTCATTACTTTCTTCCTAACTTCTTTTAAATGCCACTGAAGAAAACAATGATGACAACTTAAAACAGCGGATATACATACGTGATAGTTTTGTTAATTGAAGAGAAATCTGCATAAATATAGCCGTACTAAGAATGAGGGACGCATTATACCTGTTCCCCTTAATTTGTTAGAATCTGGAAAGTTTTCCCACGCAGCACAACAATCAAAACACTTGAAAACGACTTACGTGAATTGCCGACAGGATCATGGCCATGACGGCAGCCCAGATGGATTTGTCCTCCAGGAACCAGGTCAACTCGTCGACGCAACCGTGGAAGAAGGCATTTCCGGTGACGGTGTCACGGCACTCGAGGGGCAGCGGCTGGCGCAGAATCATGTAGTCGTTGGGGCCGTCCGCTCCGCAGCATCCGATCTGGAACAGGTATTTGATAGGAGAAGATGAGTTGATGGAAAGGTTAAGGATTTCATTGTGTTCAGCAAACGATGAGGTTTTCAATAAATACCGGAAGCTTAACATATTCAAAGTTTATAGAGCCTTCAATGCTTAGACTGCAATATTTTAAAGCATAAGACCCTTCTAATCGAGAATTCTTGATAAATTAAGCCTCGCCTTCTTCATAGGTGGAGATGCTTAACGTCAAATATCAGACTTAAAGTGGTCATTGTATACGATAGATGAGGAGATGAAAGCATAGAGTTGATAGTTCCGTTAGAGTACGGCAGTGTGAAAAATGAGCAAAGGTAAATTTTGAGGAAGACACGGATCGGGTTGATCACCTCCTTTACCAACCTTCCCTGTTGAAGATGGATGAAGATGGATGGTGAAGGAAGGGGTATCTCCCCTCCGCCACCACTGGCGCTTGCTTCCCAAACAGTACTTTCCTTACGTAGGCGAATTTCATCCCAAAGCATCGTCTATGGGCTTACTAGCATCATCTGAGATTTCAATACTGATAAAGGGGCGCCAGCACTAAGCTGAAGCGTGCTAGTCAGACTAGTGACTTCTGACTTTCTTAGTGAACAGTACCATCTCTGTGGAAAATGGCTAGACGATATAATAAGTTATTGAATATCAATCGAAAAAACACGTATCGAATAATGCAAAATTAAAAAAAATATGTATTGATCGAATAATTACGGGTGATCAATGCGTGGGATATAAAAAATTCACTTTGTGGGAAATCTAATCTGTTTGGGCCGGTTGGGACAGTTTTGTTCGCCTTGTTCGCCTTGTTTACGTTCGTGTTTTTACCATAGAATTTGTGTGTGTAAATCTGGTTGTGCGTAAACAATACTATTTTCGACAATCTCTCCGAAACGTGTGGAATATCGATAAATTTCGTGCTGTCGTTTGCTGTAATCAACACGTCATCCTCGCATCATCGAATCCCGACCCGTCTCCATCTTTTCACTGTGCAGCTCCGTCAAAGCAGAATGGACCAAAAACAATGCGGAGAATGTCAGCTCGTTATCAACGAGCTCGAGCCGCTGCGCTGTGGTTTTTGCGAAACATTCTACCACATCAGCCAGCAGTGTTGCGGTATTAATATCCGCAATCTGAAGGAACCATTATCAGCTGGAAAGATACTCTTCGTTTGCAATTCCTGTCGTGGGGTTCTACAGGGCGGATAGAGCTGTTTCATCGGCGATCAGCAGCAACAACAAATGCAACCCCCCTCGCTTGCTTCCTTGCCAGATCAGGTTCGGCAACTGCATGATGCCGTGGCTGAGCTAAGTAAAAAAGTCGACAATTTCTCTGCTAAGCCACAACGCAACCCGTCACTGAGTGCTACACCAGTTTGGCCCAAACCGGGTGCAAAACGCCGTCGTGAAGACCGGCCTGATATTGACGTGCCAACCGTAAATGGAACGAAAACAATTGACTTGAGTGGTCTTTCCGTTCCCTCTATTGCTCCTAGTGCACCTCCGGAGAAATTCTGGCTATGTCTTTCTCGCCTGAACCCGCTCATCACCGATAACGACGTGCAGAGTATTGTGTCACGCTGCTTGAGCTTAACTGAACCTGTCGATGTGGTGCGTTTGGTTCCCAGAGGAAAAGTCGTATCCAGTATGACATTTGTGTCATTCAAGATCGTTTTGGATCCTTGTTTGAAAGATGCTGCACTCGATCCGGATTCCTGGCCTGCCGGATTACAGTTTCGCGAGTTTATTGATTCGGCAAAAAACTAGCGTGCTACGTTTCTCCAGCTGTTGATACCATCGCCACAACTTCATCGGATCCGGAACACCCTAAAACAGGCACTAAGGAAGCTCCCGAGCTCCCCGACCCAGTCGCGCTTGCTGCTGACATCCGCCATCGTCATCGTCCTGGTCCTGTGATCGGTGGTGGTATCGGGGGCTTCCGGCCTGCAACTCCAGGCGAGTATAATTGCGATTTCGAACTTTCGGTACCTGATTTCCCTTCAACTTCCAGTTCGCGTAGTGGCATCTTGAGTGGTCTCCGGATTTACTACCAAAATGTGCGTGGGCTGCGGACTAAAATCGACCCGTTTTTCCTGGCTGTCTCGGAGGCTGAGTACGATTTGATTGTTCTGACAGAAACGTGGCTGGATGACCGGATTTACTCTCCGCAGCTGTTTGGATCGCATTATTCCGTCTTCAGAACCGACCGCTCTCCCCTAAACAGTCAAAAATTGCGTGGTGGTGGGGTTTTGATCGCCGTCACAACGAAACTGACCAGCTATGTAAGTACCTCGCCCATTTCAAGTCTGCTAGAGCAAATCTGGATTGTTGTGGATCTGCCAAGAACCAAGCTCAGTGTAGGCGCAGTCTACCTACCCCCCGACCGAAAAAACGACTGCACGATCATCCATGAGCACGTTAATTCGTTGGGCTCGATTTCGTCTCAATTGTGCCCCAATTCTCCCGCTCTCCTATTTGGCGACTACAACCAAGCTGGTTTACAGTGGCGTTTCTCTAACAGTGGCACACCATTCATTGATCCTTCTGAGCCTGTACAAATAAAGTAATTAACAAAAAAAAAAAAAATCATTGATCCTCTGCTATCGCATATGCCGGTTGCTTGCTGTGCTGTGAACTTCTGGACGGATTTAACATTCATGGGTTCACTCAGGCGAACATTTTTCCCAACCGTAATGGACGTTAGATCTTGTTCTGGCAGATGATTCAGCATTACCAGACACTTCTGTTTCTCTACCGGTCGAGCCACTGATCGATCTAGATGCCGACCATCCCACTCTCGTCGTGTCACTAAGTTTATCCACTCCAATTGAATATTTACCGTTTTCCGAGTGCTGCTTTCTGGACTTTCGCCGGGCCGATTACACTGCATTGAACAATGCGCTTGCGGAAATAGATTGGCACTGTATCGAAACGGCCGCTAGTGTCAATTTTTTTTATAATTACTTTATTTGTACAGGCTCAATCGAATAAACTTTACAGAGCCGAGTTATCCTTTGCGTTATACATTATTACTGTCTTAAATTTAAAGTTAAAGGAACTGGACCGAGTACTCGCGGTTGTCTCGAGGTTAGTGGAGATTTACAATTTTTTGGATGGGAAAAGGAAAGAAGGAGGTTTGAAATGTGGTTTACGATACAACTATTTAATTAATCCTAAAGCATGAAATTATTTCTATTCATCTTGAAAACAAACATTGAAAAAAAAAACCCACACGTACAAAATACAAACTAAACACAAGGTTCATCAAACTAACAATCTAAGGTTAATATCCTTAAAGTAAACATATATGAGTTTCATAAACTCCAGATCGCGTCTAGCCAAAATATCCCGAACTGGAACATTAGGTTGTCTACCTCGAGCCCGAAGGGAATCATAAAAATGTGATCTGACTCCACGATACTCCGCACAAGACCAAAGGATGTGATCAGCGTCCTGGTAACCTTGTCCACATTCACAGAGATTGCTGTCTCCCAACCCAACACGGAACAAGTGAGCGTTTAGACAATAGTGATTGGACATGAGACGAGACATCACGCGTATGAAGTCTCGACTCAAGTCCAACCCTTTGAACCATGCAAACTTCGACACCTTAGGGATAATTGAATGTAGCCATCGTCCCAAGCTCCCTTCACTCCATTGATGTTGCCAGCTAACGAGCGACTGCTGACGATAAATAGAGAAAAATTCACTATAGGCGATCTGTCGATCATAAATGTCGCCTTCCATAGCGCCCACCTTCGCAAGTGAATCCGCCTTCTCATTGCCCAAAATTAAGCAATGCGAAGGGACCCACGCGAAGGTGATGATGAAAGAGCGCACGGATAAAGTACTAAGCAGTTCTCGTATTTTCAAGAGAAATGGCCTAATGGAACGGATAGCCTCGACAGAACTGAGACTATCCGTAAAAATAAAGTAGTGGTCTGGAAGAAGTGAAGCAATAGTTTCCAAAGTGTAGTGAATTGCTGCCAGTTCAGCCACATACACAGAACACGGAGCTTCAAGTTTTCGAGAGGCGCTATGAAATTCATTAAATACACCAAAACCAGCGGACTCCTCTATTAGAGATCCATCTGTGAAAAACGTTCTTGCAGAATCAACATGGCCAAACTTCGACAATTCCACTGTAGAACAGTGATCAAATCCCCGACCTCGTTTGGAAAATTATCCATCGAAGGAGATGATAGCTGCAAGAAGGGGCCATTTTGAAGTCAATTGCTTCAAGAAGGATTTCACAGTCGGAAGCAATGTGAGGACAATGCTTTTCAGAGGATCAGAAATGTTGAGGTATTTGAGAATACCGTCCACAATGTCATCAAATGAGAACAGCCCAGATGAAGAAGGGGTTTCTGTTCTTAAAATTGGGGCATCAGGGGTTTTGGATGTCCCCGGAAGAGGTGGAAAATCCTGGGTATAATCAGTTCTGCGGAATCCAGGAGGAGTATAAGTCTCCTTTTTTCCACCACTCCTTGATTTGGGCAAGCTGATTTGGGGTTCTTGATCTGCAACTTTCCGCGAACGGATGCGTTTTCGTTTCCGGGCAGAACCTTCCAGAAAACTGAAAGAAACTCCCTCCTCAGCCAAGTCAGAGCCAGACTCGTCATCTGACAAAAGAGCGAAGGGATTTGTTTCGTTGGTCGATGGCTTGGCTGTCTTAAGCATTTCTGCAAAAGACCGCCTGGAACGTTCCTTAAGGGAGCGTTTCATTTTGTCCCCGAGCTGTTTGTACGCCGGGCACGACGAGAGAGCATGAGGAGGAGTTCCATTGCAGTACACGCATTTTGGTGCAGTAGCTGCGCAGGCGCCATCCTCATGCTTCTCCCCGCATGTGGAGCAGCGTGCCTTGTTGCCGCAGTGGGAGGCCGTATGTCCCAACCGCTTACAATTCTGGCAGTTCATGACCCGAGGTACAAACAACCGCACAGGAAGACGAAGTTTTCCCAGCTCGATGTATTGAGGAAGGGCAGATCC